GCAATACCTGTCTGAATCCAGTGAGTTAATATCAAAGGACGACGACTAGTATATGCAGATTGTTGAGTTGCTATTAATATATGATGATATATTAATCTTGTAAGAAAATGAGGTGCTGTAGGAGTAGAATTTAATGGACTTTCTTTTGGGAGTGATTCTTGACGATTTTTTGACGGACTAAAAATTCTCAAATCCATCATAGGTTTTGTTTTATAAAGTTCCAAGAAATGGTATATATAAATTTGTTGCGCTAATTCTTCTGGGACCATCTTCAAAAACAATGCAGGAGTTAAACCAGTAACAAGCAAATTAGAAAGATCTAATGAAAGGGGTGCAGGGACTGTATGATATAAAGTATCTTTTACTGTCATTTCTTCTTCATTATTATCAACATTTGATATACTATCACGTGAATCTTGCATTAATCTCTTTATCTCTTCTTCATTAGAAGGATTTTTTGCAAATGCCTCGTCCACTAACTCTAACATGGCACTCCAAATATCTTCACGCGCCAAATCTCGATTGTAATTTCGACACCATGTTGTAAGTATTATCATTAATCTTTCACTTATTTTATTGGGTTTATCTTGTTGTTCATCATCTTCGAATGTACTCTGCATGCTTGCACAACGTTTCAATTCGCGAAAAACGTGGGTTGTTTCAGCAAAAAGTGGATAAGTTAGAAGAAATGCGTGAAGATATTCATCATTTTCTTCAGTACCTTTTTGTGTTTCGAATACAAGTTCATGAATTAATGAATCAATAGAACCTCCACGAATAAGAGTTTGAGATGTTGTTGATTCAATTATAGATGGTGATGATGATTTAATTTCGGACTGTGATGATGATTCAATTTCGGGTGATGATGGTGATGATATAGAATGATTGTCAAGGGAATGCACTACATCAGTTTCCCTAATTATTAACTCAGGATGTCTCCCCGTACCCCAATATGCTCTCCTTCTTGGTGCAGTTGTTGTACTCTCAGATTTTTCATCTCCAGTTCCTGTGAAATCTTGAGAATTATTAAGACCACGTATACCATATTGTACTGTTGTTAATCCAGGATTATCCAAATCATAATTCAAACCTTTTGATTGTTTATCGGATAATTTCATTAATTTTCTTAAATTTGCTTTTTTTGCGTCCCATAATTTTGCAATCCATAATGATCTAACATCATTATTAGAAGCAACAAAAACTCGATAACTATCTTTTTCACCATTATCGACAATGTTTAAATAAAGGATAACACCAGAAGTTGAAGAAACATTTGCAATAGCTGATAATGAAGAAGAAGCAGATCGAAGGGAAGATGTATCATCATTTCTATTTGCGGTAAATGGAGGTTGTGAAGAAGGAGTTATATAAGGAGAATATCCAGTAGGTAAATTTGGATCAGGAACAACATCCACACTATGAATTGAATAACAAGCATCAATCTTCCATTTTGTATAATAGCCTTTACCCTTATTTATTGAAGAACCATCATTATCAGGTATACCACGTGTACTGCTGATAGATCTCGTATCCCAATCTTGACCACCAGAGTCAGAATTGATATTAGGAGAATTAACATTCGTAGAAGAATGATTTCCACCAAATCCCATTGCATCAATTATGGGTCTTAAATTTGCACTAGTATATCTTACCCATTTGCGTTTGCAGATGACAACATTGTCCTCAAATATAAGCAAGCATACGTGCTTCTTGAATCGCATAGCAACAGTACGATCTACTTCATAGCAAATTTCACCATAATAATACTTTGATATCAGAGGTGGATTAAACTTATCATTTGAAGAACCTTCGAAAATTAATTTACTAGCATTAGAATCAAAATTTGAAGGATTAAGAATCATACCACGATCGCTGGTAAGTGAAAGAGTTGAAAATATATCCTTTCCCATTGTTATATCTTTATTGTTTGGAAAAAAAGTCTTTAAAACAGCCTCAGAAGGAGGCCTATAGAAATACAATTTTGAACCTCTCAATATCACACGGTATACTTTCCAGCCGCGTGAGGAAGAAGAAGAAATAAATTTTACGTCAAAATCAATTTTTTTGTTTAAATAACCCTCTTTAATGATAGGAACGGTTGATATTGAAGCAGAACGGTTAATACGTAAACCGTTATTATTGTCGACATGATGAACGTTAATGGCAGGTACAGCACCATAAAGACCGGTATTCTTTTTTCCTGAAGAAGGTAAAGTAGGTACAGCACCATAAATACTGCCGTCTTTATTATTTGAAGAATAATCTGGATTTAAGGTTCGTTTATTTAATCCTAGTACAGCTGTTGGTTCAGAAGGACGACGTTGATGATCAGGACGATTACCGATATCACCATTTAAAGACCTGGAACCACGTTTTTGAGCAGGAGATAAAGTAGCAGAAGAGCTCAATAAAGAAGAATCATTCGGCGCCGGAGGAGAAAAATTATTTATAGTAGAAGTATCAGGATTACGTTTATTTTTATCTTTCTTTGGTAGATTTGGAGTTATTATTTTTGCAGTGTTGATAACGTTTGGAATAAAATTTGGAGCTCTTTTTAAAATGAAATTAAGAGCCGCACCGGTTTTGTTGTTTATGGCAACAGTTAAATTATTATTATTTATAGACTCGTTATTTCCGGAGGTAACTCGAGGGTCAGTGTTTTTTGAAGTGTCTTTTTTTTTTCCGATCTTAAACATTATGAAAAAGAAAATTCTTGTATTTTTTTAGGGGGAACGAATAAGTTTGACAAACGACGAAAGATAATAGATTAAGGTTAATATTTATTAATAAGAATAAATTATTTTAAAGATCTCGACACAGACATTAACAAGAGAGGAATAAAATAAAGAGAGAAGGAAAAAAAAAAATAATTTTTTTTTTTTTTTTTTTTTTTACGTCCTTTCGAACCTTTTATTTAACCTTTACAAACCGTCCAACATACAGAATTGAGTTCTTTATTTTCGAGATGGACAGTACGAAAAAAGAGAGAAGAACTTTTTTAAAAAAAATGTGTAGAAAAAAGTAGTAAACAAGAAGTTTTTATTGAATGTTACACGGTAATTTAACTATTCAAAATATGTAAAAATATTTGGTAGTAATGTAAGTGGCTTCAATTAATGCTATCAAAAAGGACGGTTACAAGTGAGCTTACGTAACAACACATACTCATCGAGAACCTGCTAATTTAGGTAGAAATTGTAGGGCAAATGTAGTTCAATGTGTTATCATTATACGAATTAAGGGCAATGAACTATATAGGGTATCAATGATTTCTGGGTATATCACATGAAATAGATAAACTATTATTGCTATTATTACCTTTACACAACGTCTCCGAACTTTTTTGAATTACACAATTGTTCCTACGTTATAATTTCTGCTATAAATAAACTTTGAACTTTCTTTAATTAACAGCATTAATTAAATTACGTAACAGTTTAATATTAATTTTAACAATTAATTAACAGCATTAATTAACAGTTAACAAAATTATAAAAGGTATATGTTATGCTACGTACGTATTAGAAATATGGTAGTTCTTTGAAAAAATAACAATAATAAACAATAATAATGATACGTAACAATAATAATAGTACATATATATATTAATTAATTAATTAATTAAAAATATAATAAGGATAATAAACGATCGTTATAAAAAATCAACATGATCGCTATGTATAACTTTAGATTATCATTTCTTTCTTGGCGTCATTTAAAAAGAGCAAACTAATTTACAATATAAAAAAGTTTATTTCGTTTAGTAACCTCCATCGGAATTACATGAATGGTTAGACAAAAACGGTGCGATCTTATTATAAAAGCTATGCGTCCTTGGGATATATATATATATATTTAGAGAATAAATAATCTATTTTCTTCGTTTCAGTATTTAATATTACTATTGGTATCTATAATGAAATGAAAAATGAGTATATGGATGGATGGATATTCAAATGCTCAAAGAAGATACCCAACATGTATGCTATATATATCATTTTTCGACGACTAAGAACATTCACTCTTCAAACATTCGAATATTGCATCATTATTACAATATTAACAAATCAGTATGGCTCTTAACATTTACAGTATAAGACAAGGCATTCATTATTTATTATGAAAACTTAAAAAATGGCGTTTGGCGAAGGTCGGGTACAGCATTACCATTTGCGGCTTTTTTTCATCGGCATCCCATTAATTAAATATTAGAAAATTGGTTCATTATGACTCGGAAAATAACGCTGAAGGTATTAAACTATGTAGTACTCACATAGATTTATTAATAAGGTTATTAGATTAGGGTCCATCTTTTTTCACTATATACATTCGTGTAAGGTTTAGTCACGTGCCATGTGTGAATTTCGATAGGTAAACGGAAATATTATCAGTTATTGGAAGCGATTTCTATAGTTATACCGATGGAAAAAGTTAAATAACAAACAATCATCAGAAAAGCAAGTTTATGCTACCAGAAGCAAACTAACGCTGATAAATCCATACTAAATTATAATAAACATATATTTTTACAAATAATTTAATGTATATACTGTATATTATTAATACAAATAAGCATTGCATGAGATTTAATAGTTTCGAGGTTTTTTACATCAGCAAACAAAAAGTATCAAAAATCTCATTTATCTCTAAAATGGTAAGCTAAACATGCATGGATTGAATATAATATCGTAAAGTGTTAAGCAGATGAAAGACCGATAATAACTTTGGCAAAAATATCGATACGTATACATAAATGCGGAGTAAATGTGCATAGAAAATTCTATGCCATTTGGCGCTGCTCTTTTATATAACCTATGATCGACGCACCCTCGTTTCCTTTTCGAGATTTAATGGACGTCACATGTAGAACATATAAAAGGTTTGAGATTTCGTATGCATAATTGCATAGCTAATGCATCATCCTTATTATACAGTTATATATTTATATCCAAGATTTTTTACATGGTAAAAAAAAAACGGGTTTGAATTTCTGAAAAATTATGGAGATAGTTTTACCTGAATTTAGGGTTCTTGATGCAATTTCAAACTCTGACAGTAGTTCGCCATCGCCAATCAAAAATCTCGAAATATACGGAACTAAATCGCAAATATCATCATTGCGAAATTATGATCATGATCGTATCAAATCAATTAGCACCAAAATTAACCCAGGCAATTCTTATGAAAATCATGTTAATGGCGACGTAGAACCACGTAAGATTAAACGTCGGACTCGAAATTCTATCCGAAATTCTTCTAACTCTTGTAGTTCACAAGGAACTTTATTGAACCTGGATTCTGAATTATTTGAAGACGATAATTCTATCATGGAAAGTGATGATGAACAAACAAGTTGTGATAAAAAAACAAGTAGTAATGCGCAAATAAGTGGTGAACGAAAAACAAATCAATTTTCAACTTCACATAGCAATGTACAAAAGGATAAAGTTCACCTTCTTTCGAAACCCAATACTGAACTAAGTGTTTTTACAATGATAATTTTGGTTTCTTTGGCATCGTATATTCTTGGTTCTTTGGGCTTCGGATGTATTTGGATATTTGTGCTTTATCATTGTGTGAGATGGTATATTAATACAATAAAAAATGATAATGAAAGCATTACATGGGAGAATAATCGTCAAATTTCTTTGGATAAAGTATGCATTTTATTACTTGGGAAAATTATCGAAAATTTTTCTCGCTTATTAAAATTTATTTTTTATGTTCAAAGCTTAGAAGAAATGAAGGTGAAACCGTAGAATGGTGATTAAACCTTATAAGATATTAATTTGTTTTAACAGTTCTACTTTTTACTATATTTAAAAATTGCAATATCGAATATTTATTTAATAGGCTAAATTATTTATTACTACAAATTTGGCGAACACTTGATCCATCACTTTTGATTGGCCTTCGAGATATGCTTGAAGATGCAATGTCACGTAGCGCTCCATCTTTCGTGGTTTGTATTTTTTCATTCTTTTTATCAAGTTTCACTAAAGTATTGTATGTTGACTGTGTGCTGACAGTATACTGATATTACTAAATATATTATATAGCGCGCAACAGATATCGAAGCGTTTGAGATCGGTTTAATTGCCCCACGAATTGACAGGTATGCCCCCTCTGAATTTTGTATGAGTTATTATATTGTTTACATTTATCTTACAATTCATATAATTACTTATTCAACAGTATCAAAATATTTCCAATATCTGAAAGCGAAGATTATGAGGATGTCGTGGTAAAATTCTATATCAACATCACCTATTAGAATCTTATTACAATTCAGAATTTTTGTTAATAAGTTTTGGGTTAAATTCTTACAGATTGGTGAAGCAAGATTCTCGTTCCGTGCGAAATCAAAAACATTTCAAGACCCTCCACCACCACACATCCTCGCATGGATAAAAACCGGAATTTCAGCGTGTAAGCGTGTCAATCGCATAAAACGATAATATTATTGACATATTCGGGTTTTTTTCTAATCATATTCTTTTGCAGTGATCCCAATTAGAGTTGAAATACTAGCGCTTGTCGCTTCAATTCATTTTGAAATAAAATTAACTGGAACTTCACCTTTCGTATCAACTGCAAGAATAAGTTTTCTGAGCGTACCAAAATATGAAACTAGTATTATGCCATTAATACCGATAAACATTACTCAAGTATATTAAACTATTCTATTTATCAGACTTTTTTAATAGCTACTTTACCTTTAAGCTCATAAAATATATAAACCAATTTCTACTGAATTTCTCATGAGAATAGTTCCCTCTAATCAAGCAATTCATTAGTACTGCTGTGCACTCAGTACTTGAAGACCTTACATATCCCAAATTCAAAGATATTAATTTGGGCGAGCTATTAGTGGCGAGTACCGATAATGGTATGAATTACCATAATCTTTTGTATTTATTGATCTTTGAATTTATGCTAATCTTCAAACTCATATCATAATTAGATACACAAACAATTGGCATAATGAAGGTTGATATCTTCGAAGCTAGGAACCTGACAAAAGTTGATGTACATGGTAAACCCGATTGTTTTATTTATCGCGTTTTTTTATACCGTTTGATATCTTACTATATATATATCTTTCGAAATATAGGTGACAATGATCCATATGTGATATCATCATTAGACCCACCTCCATATATGCATATACAAAACACTACTCGTATCATAGAAAATTGTGCAAATCCTGAATGGAATGAAACATTCTTTCATAAAATTCCACACCTTGACATTGTTGATGAACATATAAAATTTAAGTTGAGCGTCATGGACTGGGATAGATTTACTTCTGATGACCTTATTGGAAATTTATGGATTGATATTAAAAATATGATTGGTGATGGAACTAAGAAAGTTAAAATTCATGATGGGTGAGTTTCTGTTTGAGATAATTAGTGGAATGAGAATTTGTAATAGGTTTCAAACTATTGAATACCTTTTTAGGTGGCACGATCTTTATCTTAAACCTATAGATTCATCATCATCGTCATCCTCTCGTGGACAATTACGATTTCGGCTTGAATATTTTCCAAAGTTACCTAAAAATATTGAACCATCTCGTAACCAAACCTGTACGTTCTTTTATCTTTCAGAATTCACAGAATTCATCTCTTTTACAGACAATGACTAATTATTATCCTTTATCATTCATTGCCTAATATCTTTGCTTAATATCTCTGCTTAACAATTGTTATCCTCATATAAGCCGGAATTCTTGGTCTCCAAATTCATCAGGCCATGAGCTTGCAAGTTACGGCTGCACCATATGTTAAAGAAGCATCTGAAATTGTCTTGTCTGATAATGTTTACAACGCAACATACCCAAACCCTTATTGTGTCGTATATTTGAATGACATTCGAGGTATTTGTTTCTCTCCAAAATTAATTTCTTAATTTCTCTTCACAGAATAATTGAAATTTAAAATTATATTTATTCCTAATAAATGCAGTTTTTCGAACTCGAGCCAAATTAAACAAGTATGTTTTTAATAAAATAAATAATAATAATAATCATAGTATAATAATAGAAGAGTGTGAAAACCCGCGTAAATTCTCGTAAATTTAATTAAACCTCTTCAAATAAACACATTAGGGTGAAATCTACGTTAATGTTTTTTTTTACGTTAACGCAGGTTTAGCCAAAATTTATAATGGGTTTCACTCCGTCGTATAATAATAATAATAATAATAATAATAATAATAATAATAATAATAATAATAATAATAATAATAATAATAATAATAA